AGTAGAACTATAATTAGAAGAGGTCTGTAGCTAAGGATTACTAGCTTAGTAACAAAGTTATACTAGAAGCTACTAATCTGACCTTAGATTGTCTAATGAAGAAGTTGGACAACAAGTGCTTCAGACCCTTTATTATTAAAAAGAAGGTTAGTGCCTCTGTTTACAAACTCTAACTTCTAGTAATATAGAAGCATATACACCTAGTGTTTAACAAGGTTCTGTTGTCTTAGTACTATAATCCTAGTTTTCCTTTATAACAAAGACCTCTACTGTCTCTACTAGAACTCATTAGCTCCAAACTGGAATACAAAGTAGAGTATATAGTAGATACTAAGCTACTATATAGAAAACTCAAATTCCTTGTTTACTAGAAAGGGTACTCAGTTGAGGAGTATACTTAGGAACCTGCCAAGAACCTTACTTATACTCTTAAGACAATCTAAGATTTCTATCAGCTTCATTCTAGTACTTTACACAAACTCAGCCTTACAGATTTCTAAGCCCTACTATTTTAACTTATGTCTAAACTACTAACTGAGTCTAATATTCACTAATTAGGACAATTGGTTTTAGAGAGAGGGTAATGTTATAGTTCTCTACTCTTGTACTTTCAGTTCTAAGAGTTCTATACCCTTCTGTACCAGAACTCAGGACTTCTGTCTCTTAAGAGTGCTATTTATAAACTATATACATACTAACTCTTACTACTACCCTTCCTTACTTTATCATTCTATTCCTTTAACCACCCCTTCATTCTTTGTTCATTCTATAGTCTCTTACCCTTTGTCTATCCCTTCATTCTTTATACCTTTTTATCTTTAACCTTCCTTTCTTTTATTCTTTATAGCTTATCATTCTTAGTAACTCATACTCTCTGAGTACTCTTATATAGTTTAGTATATATAAGTATACAAGATCAGACTGGTCCTATAGTCTTGATCTTGTCTACTCTAGGTAGTTCTGTACTTTTAGGCTCACTCTATATACTCTACTCTTGTCTTACTCTCTCTCTCTACCTGTTCTATAAGTTCTAACTATGTTCTAGTACTTGTGTTCTGTATTTCTGTTATATAGGATAGTTGTAGCCTGAGTCCCCTTACTAAGCCTTCAGGTCCCCTCTATACTGTTACTAACACTGTTAAGAATCTTACTCATACTATAGTTACTATAGTCTAGTCCAGGTCTAGTCTAGACAGGTTTTTACTAGACTGTAAACTAGACTAGGACTAATTTCTTATAAAATTCTAGACCTTAGACCAGACCCAGCTGAACCTCTTATAAACCAGACTAGCAGTCCAGTCCAGGTCCAAACCTAGTCTAAACCTTTAGACTAATTATATAATATATATTAAAATAATTCTGTCTTATTAACATATTATATAAGATAAATATACTATTAAGTACTATAATAATATGTTTCTGAATATATGTAAGCTTATATGTATCAGAATACAATTACTTTTATTATTTGTATTATACTAAGTGTAAAACATAAGAAGTACTAGTATAATAGAAATCAGTTCCTACAGTCAATATAAACTACTGTTTATATCTGTAAGACACAGTATAGTCTATTTGTATACTTAAAGAGTATACAATACACTATACAATATATGTAAGAGTAGTTCACATCTATTAAGCTCTGTACAGTCCATTTGTATACCTTAAAGAAGTAGTATCTATAATATAAACAGTCTACAGTCTAGTCTAGAGTCTAGACAGTTTAAAGTGGTCTGGAAATTTTTGTCAAATACTAGACTATAGACTAGACCCCTGTTAGACCCAACTAGACCAGACCTTAATCAGACTAGACTAGAGGTCCAGTCCAGGTCCAGACCTAGTCTACAGTAGTTCTAGACTAGACAATAGTAACTATAACTTATACTATTAAAACAATCTGAGACTTCTATCAACTTTATCTAAGTACTCTGTATTAACTCTACCTTACAGATTTTCAAACCCTACTGTTCTAACCTATACTTAAGCTACTAACCAAGTCTAATGTTTACTAATCAGGATGATTGGTTTTAGAGAAGGAGTAATGTTATAGTTCTCTACTCTTGTACCTTTAGTTCTAAGGGTTCTACACTCTTCTGTACTAGAACTCAGGACTTCTGTCCCTTAAGAGTACTGTTTATAAACTATATGTATACTGACTCTTACTACTACCCCTCCTTACTTTATTATTCTATTCCTTTAACCACCCTTTTATTCCTTGTTCATTCTATAGTCTCTTACCCTTTGTCTATCCCTTTATTCTTTATACTTTTATCTTTAACCTTTCTCTCTTTCATTCTTTATAACTTATCATTCTTAGTAGCTTATACTTCTTAAGTACTCTTATGTAGTTTAGTATATATAAGTGTATAAGATCAGACTAGTCCTATAGTCTTAATCTTGTCTACTCTAGATAGTCCTATACTCTTAGGCTCACTCTATATACTCTACTCTTGTCTTACTCTCTCTCTCTGTCTGTTCTACAAGTTCTAACTATGTTCTAGTACTTACATTCTGTATTTCTGTTGTATAGGATAGTTGTAGCCTGGGTCTCCTTACTGAGCCTTCAGGTCCTCTCTACACTGTTGCTGACATTATAACTTCTAAAACAATTAGAACAGGTTGTAACTAAGCTGTAAACATTTAGTTAGTAAAGGCCTCTTAGATAGAGGTTTATACATATTAAGTTAGGTCTGCTTGTAACTACTAATCTGGCAGGACAGTAGGGGTAGTAGTTAGCTCAGGAGAGTCTATGTTTATACTACAAAGGAATCAACACTAAACTAAAAGGGGTAATAAATAGAAGAAGAGTAGTAAAAGTTTAAAAGGGTTTAGAAAGCTTAAAATTAAAAAATGTAGAAGGGTTAGAACAAAGAGAAGAGATTAATATAATAGTGAGTACTAATATCTAAAACATAAGAGAGTTGTAGAGTAGTAATAGGTAGTCTTAATCTAATGTTAGTAACAGTATAAAGGGGACCTAAAGGCTTAGTAAGAGGACTCAGGCTACAACTATTCTACACAACAGAAATATAAAACACAAGTACTAGAACATAGTCAGAACTTGTAGAACAGACAGAGAGAGAGAGTAAGGTAAGAGTAGAGTATATAGAGTAAGCCTAAGAGTACAGGACTACTTAGAGTAGACAAGATTAAGACTATAGAACCAGTCTGATCTTGTACACTTATATATACTAAACTACACAAGAGTACTCAGAGAATAGTAAGCTACTAAGAATGGTGAGTCACAAAGAATGAAAGAAAGGAAGGTTAAAGATAAAGGTACAAAGAATGAAGGAATAGACAAAGGGTAGGAGACTATAGAACAAATAAAGAATGAAGGGGTAGTTAAAGGAACAGAATAATAAAGTAAGGAGGGGTAGTAGTAAGAGTCAGTCTGTATATAGTCTATAAACAGTACCCCTGAGGGACAGAAGTCCTGAGTTCTGGTACAGAAGGGTACAGAACCCTCAGAACTGAAGGTGTAAGAGTAGAGCAACTGTAACAGAGACTCTGAAGAGTATCTGTCCTGACTTAGAGCCTTAGACTACTTCCTATGTCTTACATGATAAGATATCAGACTACTAGCAAGTAACATTTCATTTGGCAGTACTGTGAGTCCTTAGTATGTACTGTTATATAATTTTAGTCCTACATGTTCATTTATAGACAGTAAAGAAAATATATAAAAGAGAAATACTAGATTAAAATAACAAGTTTACATTTGACAAATATGTATCAAAAAGTACAATCAGAAACAACTTTAACTGTTGAACTGATAATTTTGTTAACATACTTTTATAACTAATATAAACAAATATACTAAATTTTTAAGAATGCCTTCAACCTCTCCAGCATAAAAGAGTCATGTGCTTTGTCCATTAGTACCCGCCGCTCTACACCTGGAGCCCATACTATATTAGTGTTCCAAGATGCAGGATATCTACTCTCCTTGTGTTTGCCAACCCAATCAAAATCGATCAGCATAGCACCTCCATCCGGTCTAGAAACGATATTTTGGACTCGGAGGTCGCCAAATACAAGGTCTTGCTCGTGTAGCAGTTTGACTGCCCTCTCCACGTCGTTGTATATCTTCTCACGATCCCGAAGCTCCTCCTGTGTAAAGTAGAGTGAGGTGCCTTCGACGTAGTCCATAATGACCATGTACATGTCGCCAAAGAGGTGAATGCAGAAGTGCAACGTTGGTGCCAACTGTTCTTCGGCAAGCATCCGATGTGCATCTTCATGATAATGTGCAGTGAACTTGACTACAACGTTCACCTCGTCGCCAGATCCGCCTTGCCTCATCTTTGCTCGGTAAAGAGCGTATGGCCTCTCCTGTCGCACTTCTTCATTATCCTGTTCATTCACAAGTTCTCCCGTGTGCGAGAGCTTGCCGAGGTAAGTCAAAGACGGGATATTTTGACGTTCGTCGGTAGGCAAGGGGCTAGGAAACCAGTGTGCGTTAGACAGTGTGCGCGGAATCGTCCGAACGCTATGCTTGAGATTCTCG